ACACGGTTTTTAAGCACAACACACGCGGAGTAAAAAAAACTACCTTCCACCAGCACACCAGGGTCAGCACTGCGGGAATGACAGTGCTCTCTCTCCCTTGCAGCCTTGCGTGCAGCTTCCTGTGTGCGCATGTGCACAACAGACAACAGTCAACAGACACCTCACTGCTTAAACTGTGAAGCGCACAGTTCCATACAAAGATTTGGCTACTGACATTGAGCTTAAGGATTATATATTGTATTGCACAAGTATAAAGAAACAATTAAAGAAAGAAGGACTCATTATATAAATATTATTGATAATATCAAGTGGAAATTGGGGGTGCTGCAGTTCTACAGTGCCTATACGCGGGCCGCCCCTGATCTCAACTGTCTCTGGCGGCGGCTATCCCAAGATTGCCTCATTCTCTCAATGCTCTGTATGTGTTGCAAGCTCTGCTTATATAGGGGTTATGTGGACCGGATACCAGACATCATTTCTCGCTGTTCCGTTACCGCTGTTCAGGCAGTCCGTTGTTACGGGAACGTTCCTTATAGATTACACCGGTAACGTGTTCCGTCTCATCCGTTGTTACTCAATGACAAATCGTTGCTACAATTTGTCACTCAGGAACTCCACAATTTCCACGTATTTGTTGTCGTGGAAGTGTCCGTTCTGATTGTAGCGGTTGTTGCGATGATGGACATAAGGTAACGCGTCACATTGCTCCCTTCTAAAGGTCGTTTGTCCCCGAACAGCCTAATGGTACTTCCTTGGTTTCGTTTCCTAAGGTATTCATCTTCCGCGTGTTACCTCCGCCTTTCCTTTGGTGTTTTGATGTTCAACTTCTTCCATCCTCCCCCTTTCTTCCAGAGTGCTTGCCCCGAGCACTTTCCCTTTTTTCGTTTTGGAGGGGGTCGACCCCTCCACAGTGTCCAGTTCTTGATGTCCGTATTTGTTGCGATTCCGCGCAGCACGTCTCCTTGTGCACTTGCATATGCCTCGAATTGCTTCCTCAGTTGCCTTATTGTCCTCCAGCGTTCAAGTTTTACTTGTGTCCTTTTCGACGCATCCTTATGTGGACTTGTGCGGGACTCCAGCTGATCTCCCTGGAGTCTGAGTCTCTTGCTGGCAATGACCAGTCGCTTCCTACGGGGTCCACCAGCTCCCTGAGTAAGATTATTCTTCACGATGTCTCTCATGCGTTGTGCCACTGTCGCTCGACGGGACATGTTCATGTTGCTTCTCTTCTCATTTTGCTGCGCCACTTTCGCACGGCGTGTTGTCCCTCTGCGGGTGACGGCCAATTAATTCTGGGGTCCACAATTTTCCCATGTCAAATTTTTCGGTTTCTGGCGGTGTTCCTCTGCGGCCAGTTTTCGGTCCCTACGCCTCTTCTTATTCGGTTCTCTGACCGGCATTACTTCAGCGTCTACTTTGGGGACCTCTTCTTTCTGTGCCACCTCAGGTTTCCTGTCCAGTGAGGTCGGCTTTGTCTCTTCTTGATGTGCCTCCATCTCTTGGCAGGCCCACGTCTCATTGTGGTTGACATTCATCCATTTGTCTCATGGCGGCCATCTTTTCTTGCCGTGCTTTCGTATTGGCCTGTCTGTTGTCCTCTTTTTCTTGGCCAGCTCTGATTTCCTTCAGCAGCAGTTCCATCATCTGCTGTGACTCCATTTTAGCTCATGAAGCATTATAACACTCAAGGTGGTGTTAGTCTAATAACTCTTCCATATTCGCCACAGAATCTGAACTGATCCAACTAATCCCACTTCTGACACCAGTTGTCACATGTTGGGTATGTCACACGACAAATAACTTCACGTGGGTCTCAGATTTAGCAAATCATTATTGGACACTCACACTTACACACCTTACAATTATTATCGCTTGCAATATCACTTGACTTCTGGCCCAGTACTCTAATACTGCAATACTCTAAAACTCCAATACTCAATGCTCTGTACATGTTGTAAGCTCTGCTTATATAGGGGTTGTGCGGACCGGATACCAGACATCATTTCTCGCGGTTCCGTGACCGCTCTTCAGGCAGTCTGTTGTTATGGGAACGTCCCTTATAGATTACACTGGTAGCGTTGTTTCGTCTCATCTGTTGTTACTCAATGACAATTCATTGTAACGATTTGTCACTGCAGGAACTCCACAATTTTCACATATTTGTTGTAGAAGTGTCCGTTCCGATTGGAGCCGTTGTCACGGTGATGGACGTAAGGTAACAGGTCACAATATTAAAACTAAAATGAAGAGTAGACACTAGGTAAGTTTGGGGGGGAAAAATATTTTGGGAGAAGATTCAAATTAGCCTGTGTAGGTTGTATAACCTTCAAGTCAGTGAAACTGAAAGTCTATAAAGAAACAAGAAAAATTAGCTACAGTAAGATGATTGATTTAAAGTGTTAAATCTAATTCTGTAAGCAAATTGCTATAAAATACTCATACACTTATGAAAAGAGAAAATATAAGTGAAAATAGGGACAATGACAACATATTCATATATATATATCTTTGAACCAAAGTGATGCACTAATTTTAGACCCTTTTCAGGTGTGCATGTGTTCTAATGGGCAAACAAAAATGTGGTGATACATTAAACCTTTAGCACCAGAAAGTGTTAACTCTGTGGAATCTTCTGACTGCATGCAATCACTTTAGCCTATACAGTAGTGAAAGTAAACACTACCATATTCATTTTACACAAAATGTTTAAAATTGTGGCTATAAATGTGCTTTGAACCATTTCTTATGGCCTGATCTGTGTGCACCATACTGTATTCATATGTGAAGTCTGACATTTAAGGCAAGTATGGAAAGGCTTTTCTTTAGGAAGTAGAAAAGAGCTGGACATTGTACAGGGTGGGCCTGACTCAATTAGGCAGTTTTTGATCATTAGTAACTAACCAATCCAACAACACACGGAATAATGGGAAAGTACCTTTTGTTGTCAAAAGATGGCAGCATCATACGGTATGCTGGGAACGAGGTCAGTACTCTGCCTACTTAATGCGCATCGAGAAAACGTCATGGCCGGTAGACAGTTGTCTATCGAGCAGCGTGTAAAGTGTGTGCACCTTTTCTCAGTTACTAACAATGTATCAGAAGTCCAGCACAGGATGTTGGAAGAGTTTGGACCGCCAGCAGTCCACAGGGACACAATCGTCCGAATAAACAAGCAGTTTGATGAAACTGCCAGTGCTTTGAATCCCAAGCATCCTGGTCAGCCGAGAACTGTTCGAACTGCTGACACACAAGCACGTCTTGCTGCGGAACTGGCATCATCTCCTCAGAAATCGAAGTCTACCCGCCGTTTGTCGGCCCTACTGGACATTTCGAGGACAAGTTTGCGGAGAGTTTTGAGTGACATGAAGCTGACGCCATACCATCCATGGCTTATTCATGATCTTAACGAGGACGACTTCGACAGGTGACTTGAGTTCACCGAGTTGATGCTGACCAAGTTTCAGTAGAACCCTGACCTTATCTGGAATATTGTCTGGACTGATGAGGCCAAATTTCACACATCAGGATCGGTCAACAAACACAGCTGCGTGTTTTGGCAGCCAGAGAACCCCAGTGCCACCATTGAATTCGATTTCCAGTCCCCAGGAGTGATGGTGTGGGGTGGTGTGACGTATGAAGGACTGATTGGCCTGTTCTTCCTTGAAGGTTGCGTCACAGGGGAACCCTACATAAAGTTGCTGAGGGAAAGTGTCATCCCAGAACTTCAGAGGAGAGAGAACTTTGATGAACTGTAGTGGCAGCAAGATGTGGCCCCACCACACTTCGCCAATATTTTTTGAGCATTCTTGCATCAAGTTTTTCCTCAACGCTGGATTGGCCATCGAGGGCCTGTGGAGTGGCCAGCCCAATCACCCGACATCACCCCACCAGACTTTTTCCTTTGGGGTTACCTCAAAGATAAGGTGTACGCTAATCCCATTAACAGTGTGAAACATCTGCATGAGGTGATTGTTCAGGAGTTCAATAAAGTTCCGGTGAATATGTGTAGAAAGGCGTGTGAAAATGTTGCTTTGCGTCTGCAAGCATGTGTTGACTTACGCGGTGTCCAGGTTGACCATCTTGAAAATCGATGACTTATGTGTGTGCGATTCCATATTTGTAACCATTGAAATTGTTAACATTTATCAATAAAAATAACATCTAATCAAAAACTGCCTAATTGAGTCTGACCCACTCTATATAGGGTACATTAAAAGAATCAACATAATACCTCATAAGTAGCTGCAAGCTTGAAGCCTACACACTGTTACTCTCTGTGGCAGGACAGATGTCTTCAGATAGCCTAAAAGGGTCAAGTTCTATTAAGTCATTACAGGAAAGAGTTCAAGAACATTTGACTGATATCACTTATTGCCTGAACAGTGTTTTGAACATTTAAGTGATACTATAGTTCCCATCTTCTCTGGTAATATAATCTGATGATGAATTATTTATGTTGTCTGTATAACCAATTTTGTAAATGTGATAATTTTTGTTTGTGTCATAAAAGGTTCCAGTGCCCTTCTTGTGGCAAAATCCATCAAAGAAAACAATACTGTTCCCAGTTATGGAGTGAAATCTTGGTCTTTTGCATTGATTTAAGCCTGGCATAATAAACTTCATCCACATAAGGCTAATCTATACGAGCTACACAGATAACACACAAAACACTGATGCCACAGAAGGAAGGCAGTGCTTGAAAATGTAACGAGTGATGTTCTTCAACAGATGTCTTTTAATGAGTTGATGAAAAGAAATGGAAACATCAAAATATTTTAACTTAAGAAGTAATTCATCTTAATTATACTGAAAGTACAGTGTAGCAATTTGACAAGCTTGACAGCTGCCTGAAGGTGGATGAGTGTGGCTGAAACATGTGGCAACTTCAGGTGGTTAATGTAAATGAAGTTGTATTTGAGGTGGAAGTGAATGTGTATAAGTGAACCTTGGACATAGTCTACATATACTATGCTATTAATATAGATTTTGTGTTGTTGCAGGAAACACTTTCCAAAATTGGCATAATGTCACGCATGGTTGGAAATCAGATTCGGGAATTGATGAATTCCATAGCTGAAATACAGTCTGCATGTCAGGAAGAACTGTCAGTACCAGTTGGAGGAGGAGCAAGTGATAATGCAGGTTAGATTCAGTAATGACTCAGAAGTACTTCTGCTAGCACACATAGAACTGTCATATCTAAATTAATTTGCATGATGTGGGAAGCAGTGTCCAATCATTTCTTTTTCTACAGAGTGGCTGACAAGACACTGTGCCCCTAACTAACTTACCATGTCTATTGTAGTACACTGTGTAGTTTAAAAGTGGTGTGTGTCAGCACTGTAAATTGCATGTGCTTTCCTGCATCCTGGATCCTGCTTGAAGGTTCTTTTCACTGATGAGTGCAATGTATCACAGTACCCATGACAGAAATGTTGTATTTTGGGCTAAGGAGAATCTGCTTTGCTTATTCTTTGACCCTGAAGATGGAGGTGATGTGTTCCTCTGAAATATCAAGTGACTTCCAACAGACTACATGGTGTTGTATCCTAGAAGATAGAGTGCTTCATAATTACTGACATGAGAGCCGCAGGTTCTACATAATGCAGTTTTGATTTGTTACTGTAATTCCCAAATATTTCACTTTCGCTGCAATTTTATATGCTTTAGGCTTTATATTGTGATTATGCCCTGCATTCTGGCAATGAGACATTCACCTGCCTTGCTATAATGTAATAGTGCTTTTATATTTCTCTTCATGGTATTCATGTTTTTCGTCCAATAATAACATCACCAGCACAGATCAGAAGCTGCTGCTTTCCATTCATTTTAAAATCTGGTTTTCTTCAGCTCTTCAAATGGTATGTTTTGAATAACATTGAAAAGCAGTAGTAACAAAATTTCTGGTTATTTAAGACATTTCTGAATAAGAAAAATAGCAGACAGATGCTTACCTATACAGACTTTGCTATGTTTCATTTAAACACATTTTAATTAGTCTTAACTTGTTTCATGGGTATGCTGAATTGAGTGGGAATGTTGTTCAATACTTCTCTTGTAACTGAGTCACAGGCTTTTTTGATATCTACACATTGCTGATGTACTGTACAAATGTAATCAAATTTTTCTTCAGTATCTTTGATGGGTTGGTGTGGATTGGATTGATCTGGCTCAGGATAGGGACCAGTGGAGGGCTCTTGTGACCCTTTGGTTCCATGAAATGCTGGGAAATTCTTGAGTGGCTGCACAATTGGCAGCTTCTTAAGAAGGGCTCAACCTCATGAGTGAGTGATCTTATGAATGCAGAATTAATGCTCATTAATTTTTTTTGTTAGATAGTTCCTTTTTATTCCTCAAATGTCTAATTGTTTCATATCTAAAATCTTCAGATGATTTCCCTTTGTTAGGCTTGGATTCTGCAACCATTTCTGTTTAGCTTTTCTCTCTGAATAATTACTTTGAGCATCAGACGATAGCTTTTATGCTGCTTCAGTTAACGAAAACCTAGACCCTCTTTGATGTTTTGATACACTTTCTGACATTCTTCTAAGCAATATTGCTGCCCACATTAGCATTCAGGCCTTCCAAAGTTGTAAACCTATTTGAAATTTTAACTGATGTTTTCTGCATTATCCCCTTTGTTTAAATACTGTAGGAAGTGAGTGAGTGAGGCTGTGTGTGTGTGTGTGTGTGTGTGAGAGTGAGGGGAAGGGGTTCTGCATGTGCATGCTTTTACACATGAGCATATTTATACATATACTGTTATTTTTTTTTCAGAGCTCATTTCTTGCCGTAGACATACCGTGCCAAATATGAAAATTGGAAAAATGAGAAAATCGCATGATGGTAAGTCAACTATCATCCACATTTAACTACTGAATATTGCAGTCAAGTGGTTAACACTGAGCCTTTGTATTTGGAAGGTCTTTGGCTCAATCCTTGGCCATGAGAGTGGCTGCCTGAATGAGATTTTGTATTTGCTGAATGTTGCAGTCAGGTGGTTAGCACTCAGCCTCTGTATTTGGAGTTCTTGGGATTGATCCTTGGCCATGAGACTGGCTGTCTGATTTAGGTTTTGTGTGGTTTTCCTCACTTCTCCAAGGCATTGCTGGGATAGTACCTTATAAATAATCCATGGTCACTTCTTTCCGTGTCTTTTCCAGTCACTCATTCACGGTCAATCAATCATTTGACATTTTGCCTAAGCATGACTGCAAGTGGTAAGTTTAATCTTGGCTGAATGGGAAGTATGTTTTAATTTATAATCTTTTTCTTTTCGTGTTTCATGCCCTCAGTGTCACGACTGTCTCCCAAGTCTCAACTGGTAAATCATGTAAACCCAATGGTTAGTGGGCATCCTATTATAAAACCGACCATTACGCTTCAGCGTCTCAACCTGCAAAATGTTCCATCAAGTTCTCCAGTGGAACAGATACACTCTCCATTGCCAGAATTAGATGAAGGTATTGTGTTTTATTGTTCTGTCTTTTTTGTAACAAAATCCCTGATACAAGGCATTTCCTAGTATGTTAGAATAGAATATATGAGGGGTAGGCCTTCTCGGCCCTTGCACCGTGACCTTAGGTCTATTGTGCTTCCCCCTTTTTTAATTATTCCCTCAGCAACCCCAAGCTTCGGAAGAAGCGCAGGATCTTGGGCATGGGGGCGTGAAAATAGTCACTTGGTTCCATGAAGTACTGGCCCAAGTGACGTAATCTTAAGTAAGCTAATGCCTCACATTCACACAGGACATGTGTGGCTGTTTCATCTTCTATCTGACACCTCTCA